AAACTAAAACAAACACCCGGCCATCGGACGACGCCAGCGTGTCACGTGGGCGCCCTGAGCCCCCAGCGAGCATGCTCGGTATCGACTGGGAGCTCGGTAGCGATGCCGGCCGCTCCGGCCCTCCCGTCGCCGCGCCACCGCCGCGCCGCTGGCACGGGTCAGCTTCGTGCCGTCGGCGGACGGCAGCTGCGCGCGTGGCGGCCAACCTCGTGCCGCCGGCCACCGTAGTGACTCAGCGCTGGCCTCGGGCGGGAGGTGGCGTCCTGTCCTGTCCTGTCCTGTCCTGTCCTGTCCTGTCCTGTCCAGCCCTGCCCTGCCCTGCCCTGCCCTGCCCTGCCCTGCCCTGCGCTGCGCTGCGCTGCGCTGCGCTGCGCTGCGCTGCGCTGCGCTGCGCTGCGCTGCGCTGTGCTGTGCTCTGCTGTGCCGCGCCGCGCCGCGCCGTGCTGCGCTGCGCTGCGCTGCACTGCGCTGTGCTAAGATATGTTGTGCTGTGCTGTGCTGTGCTGTGCTGTGCTGTGCTGTGCTGTGCTGTGCTGTGCTGTGCTGTGCTGTGCTGTGCTGCGCTGTCCTGTTTGTTGGACCTGTCGCGGGCCATTCCTCGTCGTGGGAGCGCCCGTCACGCGTGTTCCCACCGACGCGTCGTGTCCGGCGCTGGTTCGGCTCGAGCCGGGCAAAGTCGCGCCGCTCTCCTCCGGGCCGCCCCGGTCGCGGTCCGGGAGTACTGCGGCCCGTCCGCTGCCCACGACTGGCGCGCTGCTCACAACTGGCGCGCTGTGAGCGGTGGCAGCCAGACAGGGACCGTCCCCGGGCGCGCCGCCGCCGGCCGAGGGGATGACAATGTGAGGTCGGCGGACGACTGGCTGGTCCGACCGGTGAGATGCCAACAGAGATGCAGAGGGGAGCTGAGGGTAAGACAGGGTACGCGACACGGAGATGGCATGGAGAGAGAGAGAGGGGGGGGGGGGCGAGGAGAGGCAGTATGCGCCATATGTAAGAGATGGGATGAGCAGCCGGACGCGCCAGGAGCGAGAGCCGTCCGGGACGTCCACGCCTCACCCTGCCCGGGGACGCGGAAGGGCCGCGCCTCGCACCGGCGTCCCGGTCGCCGGAGCCGGCCGCAGCCTCCCCCGCTCCCTCCCCAGGCCTCGTCGGGCCGTCGCCGCGCGCGAGCGTCGCGCGACCGGCGGCGCTGGCCGCCAGATGCCCCGAGGGCCGGGCGCGGCCTTGCCCGGGCGGCGGCAGTTCCGGCGGCGGCCGGTGACGTGGGCCCGGTGAGCGCGCCTCATCCCGGCGCCGGCCGCCCACCCGGCGCTGACGTCACGGCCAAATACAGCCGGCGCCGAGTGACGGCGGTGGTCGCTGACCTTGGCCGGGTGTCGAGCGCGGGGCGCAGCTGGGGCGCCCGGCGCGGCGCCGCGGTCACGGCCGGCCACGCCCGGCCGCCGCGCCGCCGTCTGCCAAACAATCGGCGTCAAGTTCTACTCGTTGGGAAGCCGACATCCGGAGCTGGCAGCGTCGCTGCCGCGCCGCGCAGCGCGGCAGGAAGTTTGAGGAGGGCGCCGGCCCGGCTCGGCCGCTGCGTAGTTGGTGCGGGCGGTGACCGGCACGGTGAAGAGCCGGCATGTGGTCCGCCTCGCCGGGAGCCGGCGCCGCCGCATGGCGCTGACAGCGAGCCTCCGACGGCGGCGACAAAAACAACGGCGCCTGGCGAGCGCCCGCCCGCGCCACGCGACGCCCCGGGGCCGCTCCTGCCGCGGCGGACGGGTGTCCCGCGGGCGGTGCGTGACAGCGACCCTCTCCCGCAGCGGTCCGGTGTGGCCGGGATGCTGCCGATCTCGCGCCGCTCCAGAAATAGTGCCGGTCGATGCGGGCTCCGCCGTGAGCCGCTGCCGACGGACGGTCACGCACGGCCGCCGGCCGGCGGGCGGCGCACTACCGGCGCGACCCCGGCCCGCGCGGCGGCGCGAGGGGGCCGGGCCGGGCCGGGCCGGACCTGGCCGGGCCTGGCCTCGCGTGACCGCTCCAACACGCTCGGCCGCGCCGCCCGCCCCGAAAAATCGCCGCCCGTCCCGGCTCGGCCGGCGGCGGCGCTCTCTCAGCTCCAGCGCGCCAGCCGCCGGCGCCCGCTCGGCTTGGCCGCGGCCGGCGGCGGCGGCGGCGGCGGAATGTCGCGATTGCCCAACGCGGGGCACCTGCCAATGATTCCGGTCGGACGGAGCCGGTAATGGCTGGGGAGCTCCGACTCTGGGCGTTGCGTCATGCCGCTCGCCGCCACGTGACGCGTCGCGTGCTCCGCGGAAGGCGTGCGGGGGCCGGCCACGACGCGAGGCGGCGAGCGCTCGCTGCCTTTCCGTGTGCGCGTCGCCAGCAGCCCGGTGCGGTCTGTTACGCAGTTACGCAACGGCGGCCGGCCGTCTGCGACCGCTAGTGGCGTGTTTTGTTGCGAGCTCCGGGAGCTCGGAGGCATACCGCCATCGGCTGTGCGGTTCGCCGTTCGTCGTCGGCATGTCCCGTACACAAGTAGCGCTACTCGCGGCAAAAAGCGCCTGAAGGCCAGTGACGGCGTGCTGCATTCTGGCGTGGAAACGGATTTGGACTTTGGACAAGGTCAACAGTTTGAACAAGCGGTAGACAACTCTCAAGTTATTTCATTGGCTCGCACGGTGCTACGTTCACGAAGAGCGTTGTGAATAGACATCATACTGACTGCTGGGGAGGGGGATCTTGTAAAGCACGTCGTCATCTCATGCCATATACGCATGGCACACCGAGCACCTTCACCCACCAGTTCACGAGAGGCAAACTGACAAGGCATCCGCTCACAGACCAAGGACGGTTTAAACACGGCGCTGAATCAAACTGAGAATGGAAGCCGAGGCGAGCTCCGCCGTCGACGCCGGGTCAGCAGGCCGCGAGGGTGATGGATCACCAGCCACATGCCTCCCCAAACATCGTACCCTGGCCACGAGCCGCACCAGTAGGCTGTCGATCACACGGCGGGGCCGCGTGAGCCCCCGAACTCCGCCTCGCTACTACATCGCGATGGCGTTCACAGCTGGAATTGAATTCACAGCTGGCGGGTTCTTTATTTTGGATCGCTATATTGGCCTCGGTGCTGCACTACGCCACGTGTGAAACTGTACACACTCGGCGACGTGGTGCTATCAAACACTGGACTTCGATACGGTTAGACGGCTGGCGGATCATTCAGCTAACATAACAAACCCCCGATTCTAGCGCAGACTAATGCATTTGTGGCGTGCGTTCTCCCACTACCAGACCAGTATTCTGCCTGGCTGCGCAGTGTTCAGCCTCCCCAGCCACGCCATCTCGGACAGACTCCGAGCCAGCCCGGCCAGACAGGTCAGCGCTGTACGGCGTCTGACGTCTGACGTCTGACGTCGGCGTCTCCTCTCCTCCTCCGCGCTCCTCCCTCCTCCTACTCCTCTGCCCCGCGCGAGGCGCCGACCGCCAGCCGTCAGCGGCTAACCGTGAGCGTTCGAACGGACGCCCCCGGCGGGGCGGAGCGGCGCACTCTCCGCGCCGCCGCCGCCGCCGCCGCCGCTCTCGAAGTCCCGCTGCTGAGCCAGCGCCGCGCTGCCGGCACGGCCGTGGGGCGCGGACACCGAGGACGCCGAGCGTGCCGCGTCAGCAGCTGCCGTCCTCCCTCCCGCGAGGCCGGCGGCGGCGGAGATCGAGACAAAACACCCGTCCGCTGGCGACGCCTCCTCTCGATCGCTGATGTCGGCCGCCCGCGAGCTGCCGCCGGAGCCGGGCTCCGCGGCGCCGCCACCGCCGCCGCGGCCCCGGCCCGCCCGGCGACCCAGTGGCGCGGGATCTGAGTCACGCGGCGCAGGGACCGGTTCCGAGCGGGCCCGCGGCGCCGCGCGGCCGCGCCGGGACGCCCTCGGCCGACTCAGCGCGCGCGCGGGCTCGACGGTCCGCCGGCCGCGCGCTGGACGGAGCGGGCGCCGGCCGCGTCCATCCCAGCTCCAGCAGCCGCCCGGCGCGACGGGAGTGGCCGCGCCGCCGCCGCCGGCGGCGGTCAGCGAGCGGCCGCCACTGCCACGCCAGGTCGACGCCGCCGCCGCCGCCGCCGCCCGGAACGGGTCTAAATCCGGCGCGGTCATGAGCAACAGCGGTGCGCGGTGACGACGCCGCCACCGGGGGCCCCGCATTCCTGGAATTGTGCAGCGCCGCGGGCGATATGGTGCGACTGTGCCCGAGGTTTGTTTATGTTCCCGCGAGACTTGGCAGTGCTGGGCTGGGCTGGCGCGGGACGGACGCCACGTCAGCAAGAACACAGCGATCGCCGCACAGCCGGGCGCCGTGAAGTAACGGCTGTGGGGCGGAACAATGCGCTAATGACGGGCACGCACCGGGCGGCTGCGGCATCGCTTTTCGGACTTCCCAAACTCAGTGGGTCAAATGTCCCGGGCTTTCTGCCGGTTGCGGATGGAAGAAAACACGACGAGAACCGATCCACAACAGTCACAGGACGCATGTAGACACTCCGCACATGCGAGGGGCGTTTCTTTACTTGCTGTCTGCTTGTAACGCACAAGGCAACGCAGATGGGTTGTGTAAACGTAGAATTCCAATTTGTGCGCGATACGCGCCAAACTATCAGTCTGGTACTTATGTCGCATGTGCTACGTGTCTGCGGCATGTAGCTTGGCCTCTGAAAGCGTGGCACATAGTTTGGCCTCTGAGACTGATCTTGTACACCACCGATGACGGACCATCCGAGGAGATGACAACAAACACGACGTCTAATTTGATTATTTCCCTGGGCGCCACTGCGCTAATGCTAATCGTTTCCTGAGACAGGAGGATTGTCGCTCGCTGCATTCCCACCTGAGCCCGCCTCCCGCACGCCCGCGGCCCCCAAAGTCATCATCACGTCACGTCACGTCACGTGTCAACGACATCTCGAGCATGCCCTGCCCGTGCAACGGCGCCAGCGCGCGGTACAAGGCACAACAGACAAACGCACTGACCTGGCTGGTGGCAGCGGCTGCGGCTGCTGCTGCTGTTGTTGTTGCTGCTGCTGTTGGCGGTGCTGCGCCATCAGCCGCTCGCGCTCCAGCTGCTGCTGCAGCGGCTCGTCGGCACCCGGGTGGCCGGTCAGCAGGTAGAGGGGCGCGCGCGCGCCCGTCCCCCAGTGCTGCATGAGATGCGACAGCGGCAGGCCGGTGAGCGGATGCGCGAAGCCGAGCCCGCCGCTGACGGCTGGCCCGGCCGGGTAGGGCCGCGGCGGCGGCGGCCCGGCCGCGCCGCGGCTGTCGGGCCGCTCGCCGGTCAGCGGCGAGCCGGCTTTGCTCGGCCGCCAGACGGCCGGCGGCGGTTCGTACGGCCGCGGCCCGGCCCGCAGCTCGGCGGCCGGCGGCGCCGCGCGCGACTTGGAGAAGTCCTCGGCCATCACTGCACTGGAGCGGCGCCGCGCCGCTGCGCCATGCGCCGCCGCGGCGTATCACTGTGCGCCGCGCGCCGCGCGCCGCCGGGACCCGGCTGGTGTGCGCGGCAGCCTGCGCACACGCGCTAGCTCTCTCCCCCGCCTCGTGCTCTCTCGTTCTCGCTGAAGGACGGCGGACCGACGAGCGGGAGCCACTACATGCCGCGGCGGCGGCGCGGGCTCTCTGGAAACGGAGAGGCAACTGTTACACGGAGAGAGAGGCAACTAACTGTCTCTGGAGGGGCAACTGTTACACGGAGAGGGGGGCAACTGTCTCTGGAGGGGCAACTGTTACACGGAGAGAGAGGCAACTGTCTCTGGAGAGGCGACTGTTACACGGAGAGAGAGGCAATTGTCTCTGGAGTGGCAACTGTTACACGGAGAGAGAGGCATCTGTCTCTAGAGGGGCGACTGTTACACGGAGAGAGAGGCAACTGTCTCTGGAGGGGCAACTGTTACACGGAGAGAGAGGCAACTGTCTCTGGAGAGGCGACTGTTACACGGCGGACCTTGACGCGCAAGCGCACCGGAGCGCGTCAGCCGGGCAGAGGGCGGGGGGGGGGGGGGGGGGGGAGGGACGCGAGACGCTGGTGCGTGTCAGACAGAACATGGCTTACATATACCATGGATGGCCCACATCACACGGCTGGGGTTCCAGATTGCGGCGCCAGGCCAGATAACATCTGTTCCGTCGTGGTGGGCGAGGGACAATGACAAAAAAGCATCGTCATCACAAAACTCCGCGCCACGCACCGGAGTGCACGCCGCCAGATCCACACCCCGAGAGCGCGGCCGCTCCGCTCTGATGGCGAGCAGACCCCGCGGCAGCGCTAACGTGCTGCCAGCCGGCACCGCGCCGTCCCCAGGTGGGCCTCCGTGCTGTGCAGACCGGCTCTGCAGCGGCGGGCCGACAGCGGACGCCCCGGCAGCGCCGCATTCCCACGGACGCCCGGGAGGCCGGCGTCAGCGCGCCGCGCAGCCGGGCGGCCTGACGCGGGCCGTTTCCAGGCGATCAGGCCCGGTCGGGCCAGACCTCCTGTGGCCGCGCGCCGGCCGAGCGCGGCTGGACGACGGCCGGCGCCGGGTGGCGGCCAGGCGCTCCACTTTCCTGGCGGCGGCCCGGCCCGCCCAGCGCCTCAGCCGGGCCGCCTCCCCAGCTGACACCGCGCGGCGCGGCGCGCCGAGTCGTGCGCCGTCCGCCGCCGCATCCGGCCGCGTCGGCGCGGCAGAGCTCGTCGCAACTCCCCGCGGCCGATACTGCCACGTCGAGATGACATACCATCGGTCGGCAGGGGCTCCGAGCGGCTGGGCACGCGGCGACTGGTCTCGCCGGCGCAGCGCGGCGCAGCGCAGGCAGCCTCGTGCTGGCACCGGCTCACCGCTCAGCCGGCGGGATTTCCGATAACGCCGCCTGATAGCGCGCACGACACCACCTGTCGACGCGCCCGCTCCAGCGCGAGGGGGGGGGGGGGCGACCGGGCGGGCCGGCTCGGCGCGGTCAGTCATTCGGACCGGTTCGGAGCGGACCCCTGCGGCTGCACGCGCCGGAGGTGCGGCGCGGCGCCGATCGATCCGCGACAGACGTCGGCCTCCCTCCCCCTCCACTATGTCGGCCGTCGAGGGCGAGGTGTCTCCGGCCGCCGTCACCAGCTGATCGGCACCATCTTGCCCCGGTCCCGCTCGCCTTCAGCGGTCTCAGCGGTGCGACGGCGCAAAGACGGCCGCGGTCCACCGGGACAGCGCGCCCGTGAACCGCGCCGTGCCGGCCGCCGCGTGGCGCAACAGGCTCACACCGCCGCCGGCGGTCCGTGTCCGGCGCCGGGGGCCGCCGCCTGGCCGGCCGGGGCGAAGGTCGCCGCCGTGCGAGCGGCGCGGGCCCGGCGGCGACGGCCGTGCGAGCGGCGGCCCGCGGCGGCGTGATTCACCAGCCGCTGCGACGACGCCAGCAGATAGCCGCATCGATCGGTGCGCGCAGCGGCGCGATAGCGGCCGCCCGACGGCGTGACGCTCCACGGCGTCACGCGTCACGCCGGCGTGACGCGCGAGCGGCCCGACCCGGCGCGCGGCGGCCGGCCGCTGGCAGCGCTGCGACACGCGCCCTTGGCATCCGCGCTCGCTCCGTTTGTCGGCCGGCGCCGCGTCTGGCGGCGCGGCCCAGCTCCCGCCGAGGGGAGCGCGGACCTTGACGCGCTCCCCTAGGCGGGAGCGCGTCCCCACGGCAGGCGGGCCGGCCGACGGCCGCGCCGACGGCGAGGCGTCGGCGAGGCGTCGACGGGCAGCAGGCGCCGTGCTGTCGCGACTCTGAGGCCCTGGGTGATCCCGCTCAGAGTCTCCAGCGGTGCGCGGGCGAAGGTGTCGCCCTCACGCGACTCGAGGCGCACAGGACGCTGTCTCGCCTGCCGAACACTTACCGCAGCAGATGGGTCGATGTCTGCCCAAGCGATCCGTGCACGGTGGGGTCCGGGGCGCACGCTATACGGAGCGCAGGCGAACGTAGCCACTCCGTCAGCACCCGCTTGCTAACTATCGGACCGCGCAAGGTCCGTGGGGCGGGCGAGCGACCGCCGCCGACCCGCAGAATTTACGGCCGTAAAATGCCCGACACGCGACCCAACCGAATCGTGTCACGCAGCTCTGTCCAACTCAGAAAGGGATGTGCGACTTCGCCTCCTGCGGCTCCCGGGCCTGCCCCCGTTGCGCCGCAGGGTGGGGTGGGCGGCCGCCGCGGGCGTCGGGCGTGCGGGCCGCAATCCGCCAGCTCTAGCCGGCGGCGACGGCCGTCCGGGCGCCGCGCCCGGTGCCGAGCAACGGTTCACGGGAGCACGGCGGCGCGCCGGCCGCGGGTAAACAGGCCGCGGTCGGCGGGCCGCGGCCGAGGCGCGCGGCGACCGGGCCGCCGGGCGCCCCGTCTGAGACGGCCGACCGCCGCCGCCGCCGCTGCCGCGTCCGTCTCCCTCGCGTGTAATCGCCCGCGCAATCTGCACCTGCACCGGCGGCCGGGAGGCGGCCCCCGTCCCGGCGCCGGCGCACGGTCAGAACCGGTCCGGGGGAGGGCGCTCTGGCCCAGTCCGACCGCTGCACGTGTTGCTCGGGCCGCGCGACGCGACGGTTCTGTCGAGACCAGCGTCGGCGCCGTTCTCCCGCGTCTCTCGGCGTCCGGTCCGGCGCCCCGGCGGCCGGACGGCGGGCGAGCGGACCGACGCCGCGCGGCTCGCCCTGCCGCCCCCGGCGTCACGCGGCGCACCTGCGCGGGCTTGCCGCTGGCGGCTGTGAGTCAGCCACGCGGCCCCGGTCAGCGTCGCCTCGCTCCGCGCGGGCCGACTCAGCACGGTCCCGAGCGCCGCCGCAGACCACGTGACCCGCGCCGGTCGCGCCGGGCCGCACCACGTGACCCGGTGGGTGCGGCGCACGGCACGCCGCCGCCTCACGGCTGCCGGGCGGCTCCGGCGGACGGCACGGACCCGCGGTGAGTAAGCGGCTGCCGGCGGCGCGCGCCGTCAGCGAGCCGGTGAGTGGAGCACCGCCCGCGCCGGTTGCCACACCGGACAAACCGTGACGCGCAGCAGGAAACTGACGGCAGTGGTCACGATGGCAGCTCCGGTGGAGGAGCCGTCGGCGCCGCCTCCAGGTCCTCGCCGCCGGAGAGCGGCCGGCGAGGACCGCGGCTCACGAGCGCTGGCTGCTGTGTCTGACCGGGGGCACGGAAAGAGGCGCGAGCCCCCACGTCGAAACGCTGGGAAGAGGAATGTCGAGATAATCGCGAGCGTCAGCTTCGATTCATCCGGTGAGACACGATGGGAGAGCGTCCCTGACGTCACCATGTCAGGCAGACCGAATTGGAACCGGCGCCTTCGCAGCCGTCCAGGGATGGAAGTGAAAGGCCCAGCGCCGTGGGCTGCCACAGAGAGGAGAGGGGAGGGAGAAGAGAACGGGCCCCGGACTTTTCCGCAATTGGAACATTACACCTAGCGTGTTGTACGAAAGCAAACTCTTTAAAAGTCTTCCACGGGGATCCTCACCAACTTCTGACCCGTAGCGGGGCCAGTGCTCGATGGGGTGCCTCTGGCAGACCCGGGATGAAAAGTGCGACCCCGCCCCGGCCAGACCCGGGCTGAAAAGTGCGACCCCGCCTCGGCCAGACCCGGGCTAAAAAGCGCGACCCCGCCCCGGCCAGACCCAGGCTGAAAAGCGCGACCCCGCACCGGCCAGACCCGGGCTGAAAAGCGCGACCCCGCCTCGGCCAGACCCGGGCTGAAAAGCGCGACCCCGCCCCGGCCAGACCCAGGCTGAAAAGTGCGACCCCGCCTCGGCCAGACCCGGGCTGAAAAGCGCGACCCCGCCCCGACCAGACCCAGGCTGGAAAGCGCGACCCCGCCGCGGCCAGATCCGGGCTGAAAAGCGCGACCCCGCCGCGGCCAGACCCGGGCTGAAAAGCGCGACCCCGTCGCGGCCAGACCCGGGCTGAAAAGCGCGGCGCCGCCCTCCGCGGACCCCGGCCAGACCCGGGATGGAAAGCGCGATCGACGACCGCCGCCAGGTCGGATCGGCCGACCAACTGCCGGCCGGGCGAAAGCCAGCCGGCCG